TTTACATAACTTGATTACATCCGTGCTCGATCAATCTAGAAATGAAGACCAATATTTGAATAATACGTCAAGAGATTTTTATGAATGGAGTAATATTAATTTATTGTTTATTGATAAATACTTGCCATTTGTTTTTTAACTAATTAATTTCAGCAAATTTATTTTTCGGGCAACGTTAGTTGGATATTTTAGCTCAATAGTTTCATTTTTCTATCGTCTTATTTGAACATTATACTGCATTTAAGAGAATACGTTTTTTGGTAATAAGAAATCAAATGATTCGACACTCACATTAGATTAATTAGCTACGTAGATTAAGCTTCAAACTAATGAATCATTGTTGCCTATCGTATATTGTGTTGACATGGAAATTGGATTAGTTTCACTAGCAGCTTCATTCGATGGATCAACTAATTTACTCGCTTAGTATAATTTGTGAAAGTGCACTAAACAGCTATTGTCGATATCAGAAATGAAAATTCAAGTAAAACCGACGTCAATAATCCTCATTAACCGGCCATGAATTAATTTCCACCACATTCCAGATATTACATGACAGTAATTCAACGCTTTACACTGAGTGTTTATCTAGTAAAGGCTCTGCGGTAAATCATCTTACAATCAAGTTGTCGTTAAGAGGTTATTGAGAAAGCAACTTAATGTGGATCCTTTACTTAGCTGGTAGCAATGGATTAATTAATGAGCTTCAATTAATAAACACGGTATTGCAATATGCATTTACTTATTTTGCATATTGCTTGAAGTGCCGGCTCGTGGGGTATTTGAAACGGTAAAGAGTGTTCAGACTCAAGTTTTAGGTGTATTAAGATTCTTATAAGGAAAGTGCTTAAATTCATTAAAAGCCACCCATGATATTTGACTAATCGACCATAATAACTACTTTTAAATGTGGTCAATAAACAATGAGTGAATTTGGCGCCGATAAAATGACCCGTTGAGGTAAGAAAGGAAAATGTAATTAATACGAAAACCTATAAAATCTAATCACTCGGCATCACAAATTGCTCTTGTTTGATCTATGGCAGTACTTGCTCGTATTTTGCAAATCCCAGTCGGACTGTTAACAGCAGCTGTGCAAAACCCCATTTTTACAGTTGTTTTTTGTTTTAAACTCCGGTCTCCAACTGTGAAAACATCTTAACTAGCTACCTGACAACGCAACACTTTTCTCCCGCAGACGTGTAATAAATAAATACCTCATACGTTAAGTAGAATTTATTTATTTATTTATTTCTACATAGAGTAATAAAATATTGAGATTTATTAAGTATATGCTTTGATTATACTTTTTTAATCCTGATTAATTTTTAAGATCTGGGAAAAGTTGGTTCACCTAGGAGGACTGTCTTTGGTACGGTTCGTCTTGAGTAATTTATAGTTTATAACTAACTGGTTTATAACAATAACTTAATTTCAGCTCACTGCGTAATTATTTAATTATATGGATACTCAATTAATTAGTTGCTACAATGTAGGGATCTAAAATCTTGCATTGTTTCAATTTCTTTAGTCTCTTTGATTTTGCTTGGTACGAAAATTGCCATGGTCTAATTGCAATCACAACGGCTAAACGATTTTATATGAAAATAATATTTAACATAAATAAAGCCGATAAAGCTTATTAATTACTGGGGAAGCCAATGCGTCATTTGGTTGGAGCTTGATACTGAGATGATGTTGCAGATTTTAACTACTACAATGCAATGCAACAGAAAGAAAAAGAAATGTAACGATCATATAATTATTCAGCATGAAGTAGTAGTAACAGACAAATATACAGGGTGGGCCAACTTGCTCGCACTTATGGATCATTTTTAAAACGGTAGTAAATACCTTCACACAGCGGCAAATAGTCCCATAAAGAACATATTCTCGAACGAGTAGTGGGTGGATTAAACCTTTTAGAATTTTAACATTTTCATAAACAATAGATTTGTTAAGAAGTTGAGAAGTGATGTCAATACATGGTCACCGAATGTTTCAGCTATTTTAATTCAGGAATAATTAAACCGCTCCAAAACAAACTCTTAACAATATGTGGAGTTTATAAGATTGTTGTCGCTTTTTAATATTTATTAGTTTGGCAAGTATCCATAAAATAAATTAACTAAGAAATTTAAAAAAGACCATGTTGTTTAATTCTGAAGTTCATTAAAGTTCATCTATCAAGTCATACATAGAGCTATAAACTTGAAAAGAAAGTGCCTCTCCCAAATATGTTCTCAATTTTTCAAAAACGCTCTTGACCCTTAAGTAGTTATTTACATGATAATATCGTCTTCTACCTGATTTAAATCAATATACTATCGCCCATCAAACCTCCGCTTTAAAATCAGTTTTGTGCATTTAAAACACCTACTGAACATTTAGTTGAGGAAATTGAAAATAAATAAATTTGATCTTTATTTATCTTTTGTGCGGCGGCAGAGCTTTTACTTTATTTCTTCAAAGTCCCATTCCAATTTGTTTTTATACCGTAATGGATTGGGGAACGGTTTACATACCAAAAATTTTCACACCTATGTTTGACTATAGTTAATGGAATTTACAAGTAAATTCCTGGGTATATCTAAAAATAGATTAATAATCTACGGTTGTTCCATAACGAAACAAAATAAATTACTTTTTGAGCAGGTAGCGTCTTTATGTTGAAGGGAAACGCAATTGAACACATAGGTATAGCTTAGAACAGTACAAATAACTGGGCGTTTGCAAGATGGGGCTTTAATTGTATTTTATATTTTATAAACTATTCAACAAATTACGCGTTACACTGCCAAATTTGTACAACTTTGAAACTGGATAAAATTTCAATGCTGTAAGCGATTTGATTTCTGTTTGAAGCGTTATTTAGTCCAATTCGTTTTCTGTCCGTTTGTGTTTTTGAAAAAAATATGTATTTTTCATCAATTTCGTACACGGTGGACAACAAAACAATGCAAATTTGAACTTCATTTGAACAAAAAACGTTTTTTTGAACTTGAACAATAAAACCATAAAGACGGAGCGGATATCAAAAAACAATTTTTAAATTTTTTGTCTATTTATTTTTTTACAGGGTGATCTCAAAAAATTAAATTTTTATTGGTTCGGTGATAATTTTCTTTCTGTTGAACGTTGTTTCTGTTGTTTTTAATGTTGGAAATCCAGAACCCGTTTTGAAACTAAAACTTAATAATTGACGTAAGAAAAATATTCTACGTACAGGGAACGGATTATTTAAAAGTTCCCTGTAATTCATCTGATCATCTGCCAGATTTCGAGGGTAGTTCACATTTGCGTGAATGCATGCAATGCTTTTAATGCATTAAGTCGACTATAAAGTTTCAGCTTCAACATGAGCCCCATATTTTGAAAATCGGCCAAAACGAAAATTTTAATACTGCAAGATTAAAAAGTTTATTTTTGCGAACATCCAAAAACCATTTCAATATGCGGTCTATATTAATACATTTTGCTTTGAAATCCATAAAAAAAATTTCTTCAAGTGGGAGCTTGCCGAATATTCAGAAATGTGGCAATGTTTCAATTCACGCGAATTAGAATCTTTATATGTACATAATTCGCACACAATTTTCCAAACCAGAGACTGACCGAAGAAGAATTTGACTCAATAAGACTTCAAGCAGAAATAAAATCGTTAGCAGCAATCAGAATTTATCCAGTTTAAAGTTAGGGAAAATGTGGCTGGTTTCTTTTGCTGATAACTTATTTATTAGTAGATACTTTTACAGTTACAAAAATATATGTAAAAAAATGTGTACGTATAAGCGGTGGTCCTAATTGTGCGTCAATTATTTGGAATTTCGTAATTACAAATTCAGTATCACATTTTTTTAAGTCGAGAGTCGAGAATTGCGACGTGGCATTCTGGTTTAGAGATTTTAACAACAATAATGTTTATTAATCAAAAATAAAATTAATTATATCAGAGAGAGCTGAGAAGCAGGCTAAAAATATATTGAAGAACGCAGTGCTAGATTCAGAATAATACAATAAAAAAATATTTGCTTACCTATATGCAAAACAGCAGTTGCTTACGTTCATTTCAGAAGAAAGTTTATTGTATTTTTTAATCCAATTGATTGATATGCTTATTGATTGCTTTATTTATAATGAAACCGTTCTATGCTGAAGTTAACTATTAATTTTCGAGAACTTTTCTCTTATTTAAAATTAGCAAACCACATATTTTGAGTTATATCCATCATCATTATAACTGGAAGCGCTATTATTGAATATTTGAAAACCCCTTATTTTAACCTCGAAATATACAAAGTGTCTCAAATATTAGCAATTGAATGCAGTGTTGTAACTATAGATACTTAGATACGCACATCAATCTTAAAATGTTTGAACATATTTTCAACTTAGACATTTGTTGTTGGTTGAAAATACTGATTTTGTTGTGGGTAAAAAAAAGACGAAACTAATTCAAGATTAAGATCAAAAGTGTTGACCATTAGGGTTAAAAAAATTGTGATTAATTACAAAATCTATCACATCAATTGAAAATAAAGCTCTCAAAATACATATTTAACCCATCAGACTGTAAAGCAGCCGATTTAAATCAACGCAGAGCGAAAGCTCTGAAAAAATCTACAGAAATGTAGATTTCCTCATTTCGATTTTGAACTTGCTACGTGACTTCAAATTATTGAATGTCAGTTCACTTATTCCCTTGTGAACTTCTTTTCCGGGTTTCGCATTCTTATTGAAATGAGCTGCGTCTAATGTATCGCCTACTTGATTGGTATGAGCGTTGACCACCGTGCGAAATCTGCGCTCTTCGACGTCAAATTTGGTAACAATTCCAAAAAATACACGGAAGCCGTGGATAAATCTATCTCTAGCAAATGTCATTAATTAATGCTCTAATGCCTATTCCGTCCTTCCCACCACATAGGCAAATACATACGGTCGCGAAGAAAATATAAATACCCCCTAATAATGCCATATATCTTTCAGTACCACCGCCCACTACTCCTCAGTAGGCCCCAGAAATACAGTCACCTGTCGTAGTTAAAACAATCGCATCGTTGTCTGGCAAGGCGCAAGCAAGCTTGGCTTTCTTCATCGCGCGCTTCTTCCCCAAAACAGATGAATAACGTCGAAAAGAAGTGAACGAACGGCTACGGAAGAACCAAAGCAGAAGATCACAGTGGCCTTGCCTCCGCGTGCTGAAACAAACGATAAACGGAACGGCAAATTCGTAGTAAGCGGTGGCGTTAACAGTCGCAAGGCCGTGCAAGGACGTTCTTCGATTGTTTTCAGCGGGTCGTCGATTCTTTCAACGGATCGCGGAACCTCCTAGAGGTCAGTTTATATCTACAAGCGCCATCGCTGTTTTTCTCTATTGAAACCGATCCGAGATTTATGTAGAAAAGGACTTTTTATTTGGGTCTTTGATGAAAAAAACCTAATTTTATTCAGAATTTTCCAAGAGCAGCTGCAGAAACCTGCGTCATTGACGAGTACTTCAATAACTGCTGAATATAGTTACCACCTGGGAAAGGCTAAGCAAAGGTAAGATTGAATTAAGAAGTTTAATTGGGAATAGATAATTTAACATACATACCAAAAGTCATGTAAAGTGTGTACACAACTTGTTCAAAACATATATCTGCGAAAATGGCAAATTTTAAATGGGGTAGATAAAAACTATCCTGTTTTTAAGTTTTCATCTTAATTAATCTAAAGAAAATGTTTAAACGAGTGAGCTTTTTGAAGATCTTACGCGCGAGAAATCATGAAGATAGGAAAAACACTTTTATTTCTGTTCCTTTTCCTCAATTTATTTTTCCTCACGACCGGTAAAAAGCTTCTGCAATAAGCAGCAAAAGTGAAAGTTTTAGACTGATGTGAACCTACAATGAACTTTTAGAACTTTACCCTGAGAGCACTTTTATATAGCGTTTTGCGTCAATCTTTGAAGTAGCCCCTTTTTCAAACCCCAGTATTGTATTTTTTAATTAAATTTCGACTGTCTGCAATTTCCGTTTTTCTTTCAATATCAAGCTCATTGTGGCACTGATTTCTATGCTATATTGGTACGGTTGGTGTAACTTCAAATATTGCAGCTTGTGGATTAAAATCAAATGTTAAATTATTCTCAGTCAGAATTAAAATAATACGACTGCGCCCTAATTTTAGCGCAAAGCTTAAATATTTCCTTACTTTTGATTGTGAACATTTTTTCAATCGGTGATCCGATTTAAACAATTTTTTTATCGAAACAGCTCTATTTTTGAACAAAATTTCAGTTATAAGATAATATATATAATCGATTAACATTTTCTAGAGAGTGTTAAAATAGTGCAAGGTTTTCCTGGTCCAAATGGATTTATCTATTATATCCGTCTAATAATATCCGTGCGGAAAATCGGTCAGGTCAGACAGAAAGAAAAATATACCGAGTGTCTTCTGAGTAATTTGGATCTTTGTTAGTCTGTCTATCTCCAACCGTTCGAAATACGTTTATTTTTTATGACCGGTCACATTTTCCGCCCGAAATTTATTTCAACTTTTTCTTCAATTCCAAACAGAACATACAACATTTTATTTCAAACTTAAAGCTGTGAACCCCTGTTTATCTTGTTACAAATGTACCTCCATAAAGACGCAGCTCCATAAAAGCAATGAAAAATTGCCGTGGTGTGAAAACAAGAATATCCTTAAGCAAAATAAAAATTTTTACAACTTACTTGCATGAGCATAAAGAGACAAAATAAACAGAGCACAGTCTTTTGGGCAAAAAATGTATTTGCAAATAAAAAAAGTTTAAGTAACTTTCGCGCGGAAAATGTGACCGATCATAAAAAATTGAATCTGTCGAATTGCTCAGGATGAACAGAAGATTAAAGAACCAAATTACTTTGAAGACACTTTGTACAATATGTCGAATTATTTTTTTGCTTTTCTTATAGTTTCAATTTTGCCCTAAAATGAGGTATGAGTCGAAAAAACATATTCAAATCAACTGAGACTGACTGAGACGATATTCCAAGTGAAAAGTTAGGCAAGATTTAAGCTATGCGATAAATTTGCGGCGCAGTGTATATTTTTTTATATTTATATTGAAATTTCGTAAATTTTCTAAAAAAATCGAATATTTGCAATCAATGTGATTCTTAATTCAAAAACGTGTCATACAAAAATTGTAAAAAACAGGTTTATGCCAAACGTGTAATCTAAAATACCTTGTTTGCCAATATCTGTTCATTGATCATTTGCATTCACAATAATATTAGGAGGTTTTTCTTGTGAAAATTTGTAGATCAAACCACTTTTGCCAGTTTGTTACCATGAAATGAATTTAATAATTACTCTTAGCAGAGCAGAGCATCAATTTTCATTAGCAGAGTATCAAACATTTTAATTTTATTCCTCCAACAGATTGTCTTTCGATTATTTCTTGACGAACAGCAAAATTAAAAACTTTTAAAAACCTTCAACATATTTCATCGCATTTGGCTCACTATTTCACTTCTAAAAAGTCGGTGGATTCTATATACTTGAAAAGGAACCATACTTGTTGTTTTAAATTCTATAAATGTAAACATTTAGAAAATTGCATGGGAATCTTAATTTGTAAAAAGCATTCCCACCATTATACGCTTTTTATTAGTACGAATGAAAGAATTCAACTGCCTTAATGCAGTTATTGGTACAATTAAATTCCTTGAATACTGGTTTTTTTGGAAATTTTATAAAGACCACCTGGTGTGTTGTTCTACATATTCAAAATATTTGGCAAACTTGTTCTACTACAAAAAAATCGTATTGACGACTTGATCCAACGGTTATTCATCTGTAACGGTACGAAGTTTACGTTGACATAAGGGAAAGCAGAAAAAATGCTTATATTTATTGTAATCCGATTATTAATGCTCGAGAGCGCTGACCATATTAAAATAATTAGTGTTACAACGAAATATTTTTTTAATTAGTGAAACTGTGAGGTAAATTTGTAAATAACCTGTGGCGGGTAAATGTAACTCAACATACAAGCCAATTGTGAAAAGCAAATATTATGCACCGTGAAAAAGCGTAAATCCTTGAAGATTATTTTGACAAGCTGTTCCCGACAGGAAATTACCCGAGATATTGACTTTAGCTCCTTAAATTTAAATTTAGACAATCATTGGAGGTAATTTTTTTCACCAACATTAATTCATTGTCCTTCTACTGAAGCGGACATCCAACTAATGACATCAACATTGACCAATCAGCCAACCGTTCATTGTCCTCAAAATTACGTCCTTAACATTGCATGCTATTGAAGATGTTTTAATTACCAGCAATTTTTAGCTGACAAAAAAAGATGAACAACATTCAAAATTATATCTACCACTTCTGAACGAGCAGCATTGATTTGTGAGCTGATAAAATAGTTTAATTAGTGAAAGAACTTGTTAATTAAGCTCTTTGAAAAGTTCAACGCTTTGTCAACAATGGCTTTTGTTGCAGGAGGATCTAATCCCTCTTCAACCTGAGAGTATTTTTCTAACGCTCTGTTTAATGTTTAATTTGTGCAACCACTGCTGTGCTTTGAATATTTGCCTTGGCAGAACTAATATTAAATAAATAGGACAACTATTTGTTGAAGCTGGACATTTAATTAATGCCGACCTTTTATTTAATGTTCTAACAGTGCAAAGTATGCTTTTTGATGAAAAGAAACGATTTTAAATTTAGTGACTTTCTATATCTGATCTCTCGTATATTGCATTCTTTGATTGGTGTGTACTCAACATTCACTAGAAGAAGGGACCTGGATTAATAAACTTATTTTTTAGGCACATAATTCTCTAATATTGTGTTCTTTCAAAATATTTTTTTGAATAAAATACATACAGTTAAATACATCATACAAAAATTAAATTGATCAATCAAATCAAAATAAGTGGTCGATTTTTTAAACTGAGCATTAAAATTATTCGCACAACGAAAGGTCAGGTTTGTTCTTATAGAAAAAACTGCTCAGCAATATTAATAGTATCACTTTGCAAACAAATTATGACCATAAAGGAAAAGCAAACAGTATTTAAAAAACGTAAATTTATATTAAAACAAGGTTAAATTAATGCTAATTTTAGCGCCTTCCAATTTAAAGGACAATAGACTATTTACTTGTCACTTCTGGTTGAAGGTAGTGAACTTGTGACATCATTCGGAAGTTTCCCATGTATTATTTACCAGACAATAACATTGGACATGGACAATTAAGCAAACATAGAACAGATTATATTAGCAGAATGCCTAAATGTTGAAAAAATCGCACTCCAATTATAATTGAATAAGTTATGTTAATTGGAAATATCGGAAAGCAGCAAAAAAGGACAAACCTAGCCAGGGGCTCGCGCAAAATTAATTTTGCTGAAATTACCACTGTATGTTATGCTGCCTTATATGAGATGATATTAAAGGCAAACGCAAATAAACTCAGACGTTCTACAGATATCATAATTGACAGGTCTTAAGTGAGTCGGCTATGTATTGAAACAACAATAATGGAATAATTAATTTCAAGTTAAAATACATCCTCAATTATCTACTGGCCTTTTTCATCTTCTATTAAGACGCTTCTTTTGCTTCTATTGACAGTGATTTGCATAAATAATAGGCATTTCTTAAATGAGCAAATATAATGTCCAGCATCTAATTGCGAGTTTTCTCATGCATATGCAGAATTAGGATTCTGCCCAATACGGTATTATTTCCATGTATTTAAAGATTAGATGGCACAAACCGACACGCGGGACTCTCTTTCTAAATGGCAAACCACAACTTTAAATAGTTCTTCACTTGGCATTTAATGAATTTGTGGCTTGTAAATTAACGAGAAGATTCCGGAAAAGCCAGCTTTAAGCCTTATATTAGAGAACGTTTGCTTCTAACTAAACTAATCCTAACTAGAGAATTTCATAATTTTCTTTGGCATTTTAGAAAAGCATTGGCATCAGCAATTATTAATTTAAGATACCTGCTTAGCTTTTAATTAAATTTAAAGAATTGCTAGCCAAAATTTGTCACTAAAAACTTTTATCAGCCGCATTTTGTATACAATTCTGTCTTTGTATGAGATATTTGTGAATCTTCTTTCAAGATTGTTGCAATTATTTAGCATGATCCATCTGCCTATGCATCACTTTTTAATTTTAGCTATCGCTTTTACTCCAAACTTTGATATTTACAACTATTTGCTTGAAAATAACACTATTTTACAAGCAAATTTATCTATCCTGCAAACTGCTTTATGTTTCCTAAAGTTCTGAAACTGCAGAATTCGTTTGTTTGTAAAATGCTGTTGCCGTTTTCTAGCGAACAGAATATGAATTTTGGAACGGCAAAGCCCACCAAATGTTTTCAGGTAAACTTGCAACAACTGCAACGCCGAAAAACTTATTACTGCATAAACATTTATGGTCATATTTATTAACATTTATAAGTCATGTATTACTAATTTCATTTAGAGCCTCGCGTATATTAGAAACTGGAGGGTCCCTATTTTCTATGTATTTTTACGTTAAAATTCCATAACAAATGTTAACAGTGTGGCAACAAATTCACTTTTGTGCTGCGATATAAGCTCGATGTGAAATAGATTTCTTATTACTCCTTGACAAGATCTTAATGAGATTTTTTATTATTATAAAACTGCAAGGCCGCATTAATACCTTCGAGCATTTTTCCTTTGTTGTTAGAAATTAGATTCCTGACGAGTTGTGAAAGGTATTTTTGTGAGAGATTCTTGAAATACTTTTAAACTGCTATTCAATACAATAAACGTTTATTTCAGTTTTCAACAGAGGGAAAAGTATTGAGATTGGAGATCTTTAATTTATGCGTAAATGTTACTTTTATTATAGTTGGTAGTATTATAGTATTGACCAAGAAGACGGATGCATTGTATGGCGATCTCCAAAACCATAAGTCGAAGTCGGATAAATTAGGAAAACGTTGCGCAATTAGGGGACCATTTACATATCATTTTCTAAAAACAACTTTTTTTTGTAATTTTCGAAATATTTAGAAAAAATGATTTTACGGATTTTCGTTTTTATTCATTTTTGAAGTTATTTCAAATCATAATAAAAATACTTTCTCATGGCACCTTCTCGAACTGCGAAAAATGAATAAAAAGACAAATCTGAAAGATCACTTTTTTCTAAATATTTAAAAAATGCAAACAGACACTTGTTTTCTGAAAACCCCATGTATATGACCGCCTGATTGCGCGACTTTTTCCTAATTTAACCGACTTCGTATATCTTACGGTGTCGAAGGTCCTCATGCAATGCACCCTGATCTTGGACATCCTGTATAGTGCACATACATGTCTGATTATAATAACTACAAAACGACGACTACAATAAGTATCCATTATTTTAGTAGGACAAAATCGCAACAAACATTTGAAGAAAATTGAGCATTAATTAGTGAAAAGTTAAGCGGATAACTAGACTAATCAGCTGCTCAACAAAATGACCGTTATGTAGCCAAATTTGCCCTAACTTTAGAACTGGATAAATACTGATTGCTTCAAACGATTCGGTTTCTGATTGAAACGTTCACTAGCACCATTTGTCGTCTCTTAGTCCATGTTGTGCTAAAAATTCAGCACCTCAGATAAATTTTCTACGGGCTGGCAAATGAAAAAATGCGGAAAGTTCGGCATGCTCCAAGTTGGTCAAGAAAAAGTTTTTTTCGATTTTAACACTAAAAGTTTAAAGATGCTAAAGAACTAGTTAATGATCCAAATAGCTCGAAACGTCTATTGAATTTTTCGGCCATTTGTTTACAGCGTGGACTCAAAAAGTCAACTTCTTGGTTTCAAACAGCAAAGTTTCAAAGTTATCAAAGCGATAACTTTTCTGTTCTTGGGACGATTTTGCGCTATTGAGCGCATGTTGAAGCTTAAACTTCATAGGCAACTTAAGTCAAAAATTCGATTTACAGCGTTGCATAAATTATCACTACACACCAACAAGATAATTTTTTGAGCACCACTGTAAATAAACGAGATGGGCAAAAAATCAATAACTGATTTCGAGATATTAGATCTTAATGCCGGTGGTATTGTAAAACAATTAATAAAAACGTTTTTTATTCAATGGAGAGCATGTGGACCTTTCTCCAATTGTTTCATTTGCCCATTCATGTTCCATTGTTTCATGTGCCACCCTGTAGATATTTTATCCGAAACCCTAATTTATTATACACACAGGCACTAATTTGAAAAGAAATTGCACTCAATAACGCTTCAAACAGAAAACAAATCGCTCGCAGGGTTAGAATTTATGCAGTTCAAAATTTAGTCTAAATTTTTCATCGTCCTATTTTTAATGTAAGTATTGTTAAAATTGTGTTTAAATACAGCCATAAAAATAAGAGGAAATTTATATCAAATCAAATTAACGTAGAAATGTACACGACGTACTTAAGTAACGCAGAAAATACAAGTAACGACACAATTTGGCGAAATTTTAAATATTGTTCTTAAGTGCTTGGCTGAGCAGACACTTTCAGGTTGTTTTTTCACTTGGATGATCTTCTTTGGTTTCTCAGACAACCGTGCGAGTAGAATTGAATTAAAGACAAATTTAATTCCATTATCTAGAAGAAAGCAGAAAGAAAATTCGAGGATCATGACAGACTAAAGTCTAAACTAAGTACTAAAACTAAGACCGTATTCTGCTGATCAATTGCAATAAAGCACATTTTCCAAGAATACAAGAACATGTTGTTTTTACCACCCAACTACGGAAAATGGTGTTATTAGATTATGATTGAAAGATGGAGTGAAATGCATTTCTGTTTCGGTTGAAATCCACGAAGAAACCACAAATAGATGTGGCAAAGATTGAACATACCGGAAAACTCGTACCTGATATTATGGACCACAAATTATGGTTAAAGTGACTTACGGTACATCGGCGAACCGCCTCCACACGGACGTTCCCAATTAATCTGTTTTAATTGAATAAATTAGAACGACCAGTGGCTATCGGCGGCAACAAAAAAGATCGGCTTCGGATTGTTTTCAATGATACGCATGGTTGGGCGTGATAATTAGCTAATGAACCCTGTCCAAAGTTGTTAAATTTATTGGCAGAAGTTGGTGAAATACAGTAGCGTCCGTTTTAACATTTTATTCCAATCACTATGAATAACTGCAACATATTCAGTAATCCAACAGGAGGTTACGGCAAACAACAATGAGAACTGAACAATTTTGTGGTATTTTCTGCAAAATACTTACGGCCGATGAAGTCAGATAAAGACCAAATTTACACCCGATCCATTGCACAAATACTAAAAAAACATGAACCGTTTTCTAAATAACTGCGGAAATAATAGGCGAAAAACAAATCTACTAACGACTTACCGCAGGGGACATCTTCCCAAGAAATCTACATTTGAACGGCGCATTTCGGAATTCCAAATCTGAAAAAAGTACATCTTTGTATTCTAAATAGGCAATGTTTCCCATTTGTAATGCATTAAACCAACAAGGCAATAATTAACATACACGAAGAGTGATAAATAATTAATCGTCAACCATCAAAAATAAACTAACTGAATAATAAAATACTAAATTTGAATAAAGATTAGTGAAGAAAAAGTTTAAATTGTTAACGCTCCGTTGGGCTTTGTTTATTATAATTGGTTTACTTGAGTAACTGCCTACACCAATATTAGCTATAATTTTATGCTGGTAGAACAAAAATATTTATATAAATAGCATCAAAGAAAATATGGCTGTTAAAATTTAGATCTATAATTTCACTATATATTTCATTAAAAAAAATTATAAAAACAACAAATAAAAATTTGGCTTCACCTTGAATAATTAGGAGAAATAGGGCTACTTTACAGTTATCCTGAAAAGCAACCATTCAATGACTTTACGCATTTAATCGCTTGTTACTTTGAAATCAATAGATTGCTCTACCCAGCAATTTGCACAGGAAAGAAGCAAACGCGATGATTGAAGGATTAATGTTCACTAAAACCAGCATAATATAGAACTAACTTATAAAAACAGACAAACAAACAAATATAAAACTATGCACGCTCTTAATTGTTCAGTTTTGCATTTGTTGAAGCTGCGAAATAAGAGAAGTTTGTGGGAAAAATGTTTTTTTACTGGTACAGACTGGTAACAGAGACTCATGAATTGCAGTCAACCAACTTTGTCGTATCACATTTTTTGTTAATTAATTTGCAATTTTCCTGTTTCTGAATGTATAATGGAATCTTACAGATGACATTAAAACGCATTTATTACGTTAATTTACACTTTTTGCTACTCGATAAATTTAAACATAATTGTGTTTTATAACTATTCTCCAAGTGAGTTACAGCAGTAGTCAATTTGTTCGAATTGGCGTTCTGATTACAAACCTGTTATTTTTAAATTATATTTGTAATTTGAAAATGTGGCCTTTGTGAAACATAGACAAAGACTTCCTTTACTGTAAAAATGTGAACAGTAAATGCATTCTTTATACCATCGCGCTAAATGTGAATGCGAATTTCAATTTTGCTAGTTTTTTTCAAAAAGAAGCATTTTTGTTCATAGTAAACTCATCAAAATTTAAGAATAATCAAGAAAATCAAATAAAATAAATTATCTTGTGAAAGAAAATTCGTCCAATATAAAATGCAAACAGTTATACATACAAACGAGCTCTTTCTAAATTACGTAAAACAAATTATTTCCGAATTAAGTGTGGCGTGAAGATGTGACGATGCCTCAAAGTCATAAACCTTGATTCTCACATCCTTAGTTCATATTCGTGCAAAAGAAAGGCTGGAATGTATATTGCCCATTGTAATTGACGGCATGAAGTGTTAATTATCTTTTAAAATGTTTTCTGCGGTAATCGCAATCTTTTCGGCAATTTCTGTTAAATTGAAAGGCATTTCAATTGAACATCAAATTATCATTAAATTTTTAATGACACATTTTTTTAAACTCGACAGTTATTAGCAATTAAATGATGAGCAACTTTGGCGACGCACAACAAAACAAGAAATATCATAAAAGATCGATAAACTGTTAATTAATCATAAATCATAGTATGTTTCATTTAATTGCTTTATCACTTACACTGTTCGTTACACTTTATTGTCTGTTTGTGATTGCTTTCATTGTCTAATTCAAGATGGATGATTTGCTAGGTTTAAAAAAAAGTTCTATTAGTCAACCACATACAAAAGTTAAGTTAAACAAATGGCAATAGAAACAAAACATTTTAGACAAAATTAATATTGCGGCAAACAAACAGTCACGTTTTAAATAAACTGCTCAACAAAATGAACGTTACACACCCAAATTTGCCCGAAGTTTGGAAGTAAGTGAATAACCTCTTTCTGAAAAATCTGGAATCCTATTGTTTAAAAAACTTTAGTAATAAACTGTAGTTTAGTTGATTGCAGTTGTAGAGAAACGCACGCACTAATCGAAAAGAAATTGCACTAAATAACGCTCCAAAAAGAAATAGAATCGTTCGCAGCAATCTGAATTGATCCAATTTCAAAGTTGGTCCCAATTTGTTAACAGTAATTGATTTTGTTAGAACGACATCAAATATATGCGAGATCAGACACCTGAAAACTGGAAAAACTATCGACGACAACGAGGCGAGGACAAAAATCGATCATGAAGACAGATCAGTGACATAAAAATAACAAATGACACGATTAAAAACACCTTAAAATCCCTTAAAATTAGAAAAAAACCAGGACCAGATGAGATCATTAAGGAGATGCTTAAATTCGGAGGGAAAAACATTACAAAATGAAATACTGACTGTATTAAAAAATATTATAGAAGAACAGAAAATATCAAACGAATAGAAGAATAGTATAACAATACCCATTTTTAAAAGGGGACAGAAAGAACTCTTAGAAAACTATTGTGAAACAACCCTACATGATAGCGCTTTTAAAGCATTCCCAAATACTATTTTGGGGGAAATCAGCAAAACCAGAGAGAATAAGAGAAGAACAACAAGGCTTGCGAAAAATAGAGATCCACAATAGATGCAATATTCATAGTCAAGCAAATATCCTTATCCCTAGAATCCAATAAATTCCTAGAATTCAATAAACCCTAAAAAGCTTTTGATAGAGTGCACCTGAAAGGTGCTCTGGAAATAATGAGAACAAAAGGGCTAAACTACAGACTGCCTAATGCAAATAATAGAAAAGAACTGAAATAATAGAAAATCTTCCCAGAACGGCTGGATACAAAATTGAAACTACTTTCTTCCATGCCGTATGCTACGCTGACAACGCGGCTCTGATTTCAGATTCTTCTTTCTTTCTTCAACACCCAAGCAAAAGAACTAAATATGATCAACACCGAGAAGACTAACTGTTTAGTAATACTAAAGAAACCGATAAGAGGCAAGCAGGAAATCGACTCCAAGATCGTCGAACAAGTAAACCATTTCAAATATTTGGGAGCAGAGATAACGAGCCATGGAAGTAACTAGTTAGTAACTTGCTACCTCTCGAAGTAAGAGAGCAAGCAATGAAAGCGGCTCGAATTTCGTGAAGTTTGAGAGAAATTGTTTGGAAAAACAAATACCTAAATACGGAAACGGCAGGAAGACCTATAATAACAAACGTAGCATAAACAAGACCAGATACAAGCAGAACTCTACAAATGATGAGAACAGTTGAAATGAAGACCTTATACAAGGCAAATCTCTAAGAGTACGAAGTGAGGACATCAGAAGGCAATGTAGATCTACAGGACATAAGATGGGTGAGACGGAGAAGACCATTCTGGAACAAACATGTACAAAGAATGGAGGACAACAGAGTAAGCAAAAATGCAAAAATGAATAATCCAGTCCAAATGACCTTATCCTCCGGGGAAGACTTGTTGGCAATGAAGAAGCCTCCTAATATGTATGTATATTAGAAAGAAAGAAGTTTAGTTGAACCAGCTTTGGTTTATAGGATACATTGCGCGTTCCTTTTCCGATCTATCCTTATTGCAATTATTTCTCATTTCCTCTCGTTTGCATTAAAATAGTCATTTTTCAAGGGCATCTCCGATTAATTGACACGAGTATTTTAAAAAGATTTCCGCATTTAGTTCTCAGCCACAATAAAAATTAATTACAACTGTTCTCATGAATTGACTAGAATTTTTAATGCACTTTCATTCATTTGCCAGGAAATTCACCTGTATATCATTGTAAAAAAAGCAAAAACAATGAACTGCTGAGCTACCCGTAATTACACATCGGAATCTGTGTAGTGTAATTTGCAGATAAAATAGCTTTCAAATGGCTGGTATAGCTGAAACACAATGTTATGTGCATTTTTGTATCTCTAAGTATATTTAAAGAACATCGGCTTATTAGCTGTTAGGTAGTTATGTAATATTGGCACCTATATAATTTTCTACTGCAGTTGAGGCATTAATGTCTACTTTAAGGCTTTAACAGCTAATAATAAATTAAGTCTGATGTTAACAAATAGGAAAGCAAAAACCAACGAAGAAAGTACGGTATAATTATCATTAATTACTAAGCAATAAACTGAAAAGTCGTGAAAGCGCCCAATTCGCAAACTTCCACTTTCCAACCTTGTAAAATTAGAAAACACTGATTGCAAGTAAGGAAAAGAAGACATAAATTTTATTCTCTGTATTGCAGTAAATGGCAAGAAATATTTTTAATTTGAATCTAAAAATCAAGTAAGTAGGTACTCAAAATTGCTCAATTTCACATTGGCATCGACTGTTGCTTGCTCTTGCTAAAAGGCTTGCATGAAGCAATTTAAGTACAGCTAGTACCAACCACTACACTTCACAAAACTATAATTTTGATTAAAGCAAATTAGTAAGGCCGCATTACTGGCTTGAATACAGGTAATTACGCTTGTCCAACATCGGTTACTTACTTTGCAAATCACGAACCATTTTTTATACGGTCAACGTTCTGGCTGTACGTATTTTATTGCCTGTCAATAATTGACTTACTAAAGTGATTTTAATGTGTTGATTTTGCAAGTTCACTTATCTTATACTACAGTTCCATACTTCACGTAATGTAAAACTGAATACATTTACTGAAGATTTATGGAAGAACAGATGTTTCCCCTTGGTCCAGTGAGTTTTTATGGCTGAACAAATCTCTATGGTCAATAGATTTGATTTGAATATTTAACGAGTTTACAGTAATTATAATTACGCCGTAAATTATCAAAATTAATTGACTTCTGTTTATTGATATTTAAATAATGTATTCCTATGGGTTTTTCAATATATCGCGCTTCTTGAAATAAAATAACTTTTAATCGAGGAAACATAATTTTGATCACTAAGAGCTGAGTTCTTCAATGAATTTTCCCATTTTAGTAATTTAATTCCCAAGCATGGTTGCAGCAAGCGATGAAAATCAGTTATTATTTAAGATGAT